TACAATTCAAGTTAGTCTCTCATACAAAAATGTATACACACATTTCTATGTGACCGTAGTTGCTCTCCCTATACCGTGACAGCACACTCCTCCTTTCCACCCTGGATTTCCCATGTCCATTCAACCAGCTCCTGACCCTCTCTGCCTTCTCATCTCGCCTCCAGACAGGAGCTGCACATTTAGTCTCATGCATCTACTTGAGCTAAGAAGCACACTCTTCACGAGTATCATTTTGAGCCCTATGGTCCAGTCTAATCTTTGTCTGAAGAGTTGGCCTCGGCAATGGTTATAGTTTTGGGCTAACAGAGAGTCCGGGGGCCATGTCTTCTGGGATCCCTCCAGTCTCAATCAAACCATTAAGTCTGGTCCTTTTACTAGAATTTCAGTTCTGCACCCCACTTTTCTTCCGCCCCGTCAGGGACTCTCTGTTGTGTTTCCTGTCAGGGCAGTCATTAGTGGTAGCCGGGCACCATCTAGTTCGTCTGCTCTCAGGCTGATGGAGTCTCTTGGGCTAATATTTTCCTTGTGTCTTTGGTGTTCTTCATTTTCCTTTGCTCCAGGTGGATTGGGACCAATTGATGCATCTTGGATGGCCGCTTGCTAGCTTTTAATACCCCAGAGGCCACTCACCAAAGTGGGATGCAGAACGTTTTCTTAATGAACTTTCTTATGCCAATTGACCTAGATGTCTCCTGAAACCATGGTCCCCAGACCCCAGCTCCTGCTACTCTGTTCCTTGAAGTGTTTGGTTGTATTCAGGAAACTTCTTAGCTTCTGGTTTAGTCCAGTTGTGCTGACTTCCCCTGTAGTGTGTGCTGTCCTTCCTTTAACCTAAGGTAATTTTTGTCTACTATCTAGTTAGTGAATATCCCTCTCCCTCCCTCCCCACCCTCGTCACCATCAAAGAATGTTTTCTTCTGTGTTTAAACCTTTTCTTGAGTTCTTATAATAGTGGTCTTATTCAATATTTGTCCTTCTGTGACTGAATAAATTCACTCAGCGTAATGCCTTCCAGATTCCTCCATGTTATGTTTCACAGATTCATCATTGTTCTTTATCATTGTGCAGTATTCCATTTTGTGAATATACCATAATTTGTTTATGCATTTGTCCATTGATGGGCACCTAGCTTGTTTCCATCTTTTTGCTACCGTGAACAGTGCTGCAATGCACATAGGTGATGAGATTTTTCATAATAAACAAAACAATTGCTTCACTAGTAAACAATGTCTGCCTTCAGCATTATGCTCATTTAGGATCTATTTACATGGGATCAAACTGACATCAGTAACTCATAAGATTGGATAGGAAACTTAGAGGGTGTGATTGTTAAGATTGTGTGTCACCTTGGCTGGGCCATGATTCTCAGTGTTTAAATGTGATCACTCCCATGAGTGAATATACTGTGAGTAGCCAATCAGATGAAAGAGAGTTTCCTCAGGGGTGTGGCCTTAGTCTGAATATAAGCAGACATTCTGGCTTTTTGCTCTTTCTGGATCCTGCGGCTGCCTCCTGTCGTCTCATCTCCAGTTCTTGGGACTTGAGCTATCAGCTCATTGCCGAACTTGGGATTCATCAATCTTCACAGCCTGTGAGTAGAGCCCTGCTCTCTGACCTGCTGATCTTGGGTTTGCCAGCCCCTGCAGCGACGTGAATCAGGAGAAACCTTGTGGTCTGCCTACTGATCTTGGAATTCGTCAACCTTCACAGCCTGTGAGCAAGAGCCCTGCTCTCTGACCTGTTGATCTTGGGTTCACCAGTTTCTGCGGCTGCAGGACTTGGGAGAGTCCTCTACCCTGATCCACAGACGGGACATTCTAGCCTCTACAATTGTGTGAGCTGTTTCCTTGATAGAAATCTCTTTATATATATATTTATATGCTTTACTGGTTTCTCTTCTCTAGAGAACCCAGCCTAAGATATGGGGCAATGAGATTATATTTTAATGGGGGAGGAACAATTCAGAAAATGTTAGTGATGATGGTTGTACAATTCCACTAAATTGTACATATAGAAATTGCTGAGCTGGTGTGTGTTCTGTTGTATATAGTCTCAACAACAAAAATAAACCCCAAACATTAATACCTTCACTAAAAATAGCTTGTACTGAGGCCCCACGTTGTAATGCTATTTTTCAAGCCTCAAATTTAAATTTGAACAAAACCAGAATAACTACAATTTTTAGAAAAGGCTCTTCTAGTTTTCTGGTGGGTTGCCAACACACATTTTGCTTTCAATGCATCCTGAAATTCTTTCTGCTAACAATGTTTACAGATGACTAAGGATTCTGTGGGGTCTTCTGCAGACTGTCCTGAACAGCAAGATGCAGAGCACAATGACTATTCAGCAGAATGTACCAACCAGGGTCTGAACCTGTAATATAGCATGAAACTGCCTTTGCAAATAACTCCCTAGTGTGAGCTTTTTAAAAAATCTGCTTTTAATCATATTACTAGACATAGCCTGTTGTTGTCAAGTTGATTCCAACTCACAGCCACCCTATAGGACAGAGTAAAACTGCTCCATAGGGTTTCCAAGGAGCAGTTGGTGGATTTAAACTGCCCACCTTTTGGTTAGCAGCCGACTCTTAACCACTGTGCCACCAGGGCTCCAATCATATTAATAGCTACTATTTGTTACTGCCTAACTATATGCTAGGCACTTTACACGCTTTAGGGAATGCAGATCAGTGGCACTGCAGTCCTCTCAGGCCACACAGCACATAAGCTGGATTTTAACTGAGGTCTGTCCTCCAAGTCTGTGCTCTTCCACTTCACCACGGGTGCCAGTCTGCATACAAAACCACCTCTTACGAAAATTACCTGGAGACTTAAGGAGCAAGCACTTTGGACTGTTATCACAGTCTGTGTCATGGATTGAATTGTGTCCCCCAAAAATACGTGTTATCAATTTGGCTAGGCCATGATTCTCAGTATTGTGTGACTGTCCACCGTTTTGTGATCTAACGCGATTTTCCTGTGTTGCAAATCCTATCATTATGATGTTAATGAGATGGATTAGCAGCAGTTATATTGATGAGATCTACAAAATTAGACTGTGTCTTAAGCCAATCTCTTTTGAGAGATAAAAGAGAGAAGTGAGCAGAGAGATGAGGTATCTTACACCACCAAGAAAGCAGCACTGGGAGCAGAGCGTGTCCTTTGGACCCAGGATTCCTGTGTGGAGAAGCTCCTAGTCCAAGGGAAGACTGATGAGAAGGACCTTCCTCCAGAGGCAACAGAGAAAGCCTTCCCCTGGAGCTGATGCCTGGATTTGAACTTCTAGCCTACTATACTGTGAGAAAATAAATTTCTCTTTAAGTTAAAGCCATCTACTTGTGGTATTTCTGTTATAGCAGCACCACATAACTAAGATAGTCTGATTTACTAGTGTCAGTTAGCATGCTAAAATTCTTTCACTAATTTCTACAGAAGCTGACTTATTATCTATACATCATGTTCATATGAGATACCAGCTAACATTTACTAGTAGTATACTATGTGTCAGATACCACTAGGCTCTTCATAATTTTCTCATTAAATCTTCTAAAAAAAATCCACAGGACACATACTATTATTATCCACATTTTACAATTGAGAACACTGAGACTCAAAGACGTGAAGTTGTCCAAGGATAAGATAGATTATTTCCTCTAAACACTGATCAAGAATGTTGGTTTCAGTTTACCATAATAGAAAAATCACATTGATTAAGGATAGGACTGCACAGTCGATTATTATAATTACTGTCAATAAGTTGTACACTAGTAAAAAGTTGAATTGCCAAAAGTTGTGTGATAGATATATTTACAACGATTAGAAAAAAGAGTAGCTGCTGAGGCTGCTTATGTACAACCAAATACCTCATGGGATTTGGTTCCTTGGTTTGGAGGTTTCGGGTCAGGGTTTCATGGGACATCCTACTTGACCTAATAACGTGTTCAGTGCTTCTGTCCAACCTCCTAGTTCCTTGTGTAGTGCCTGAGGTCTTAAAAGCTTGCATGTGGAGATCCAAGGTACAAAAATTGGTCTCTGTTTGCCTGGAGCAACAGAGGAAGTAGAGTCAGGAAGAGAAAGAGGAAATGGAATGTGTGGCTAATGGTCTCCATGAACGACTGCTTCTTTTGCCATGAGATCAGAACTGGATGGTGCCCATCTACCATTACTGAACATTTTGATCAAAGATTCTCTAGAAGCCTGATTTTCTGCAGCCATAGAAGCTGGATGAACCCTTGAAACTACTGCCCTGAGATAATCTTTACATTTTAAACCTTAAACCAAAAATATTCCCTGAAGTCTTGTTATAACCAAACAATACTTTTAACTAGTAAAGAATGTCTGCCTTGAGCACTGTGCTCCTTTAACATCTATTTATATGGGATCAAAATGACAACAGTAAATCGAAAGATGAGATATGAAACTTAGGGGGTAGTGAATTCATGTTAATAGGGGAGGAACAACACGGAAAAGGTGAGAATGGTCGTCCAACTTGAATAATGTAATCAATGTCACTAAATTGTACATGTAGAAATTGCTAAACTGCTGTATGTTCTGCTGCATATTCTTAACAACAAAAATAAAGTATAAAAAAAAAGAAAAAAATACAGGGGATATGTCTTGAATTGTGTCTCCCAAACCCCTGGCACCTATGAATGTGACCTTATTTGGAAGTAGGGTCTTTGCAGATATAAGTAGCTAACATGAGGTCACAATGGAGTAGAATGGGCCCGAATCCAAATGTCTGGCGTCCTTATAATAAGAGAAGAGACATACAGTGACACAGGGAAGACAGCAACCATGTGAAGACAAAGGCTAATAGCAGAGTTATGGTACCACAAGCTAAGGAACACTTGGGGTTACCAGAAGCTGGGAAAGACAAGACAAGGTCTTCCCATAGAGCCTTCAGAGAGAGCATGGGTCAGCCAACACCCTGAATTCGGACTTCTAGCCTCCAGAAGCCACAGTTTGTGGTAACTTGTTATGGCAGCCCTAGGAAATTAAATATAGCAGGTTTTTCAACGACTTATATGAAAAAAAGCTCAAAGACATTCATAATAAATTAAATGAAAATTAAAACTAGAAAGATACCATACCATTTTTCATCTACCTGATAAGCAAAGATTAAAAAAAAAAATTGGTTATATCTGTATGAGAAAGCAGGTACTCATGGACATTTTTAGTTGGAGTTTAATATGAAAGGATTATAATTTCTATCGAAATTTTAAATGCTGTCCCTTGGACTAAGGAATTTAACCTACACAGATATTCATACATGTGCATAATCACTACAGCATTATTTGTAATTGATTAAATTATGATAAAGCCAGACAAAAGCATGAGCTATTTAAAAAAAAAAAAAAGTTGGTTACTTAGAAACCATGTTATTTCAAAAACTACAAGAGCTTATGAAAATAAAAATACTTTATTTCTGACTTAGCCAGCAGGTGACATAAAACAATCTTGATCTTTAGAGCCAACTTTGTTCTTTCCCCAGTCTTTTCCTTGGATCATGAATACAGCAAGTGCCCCAAAGAAAAACCCCCACACTGTGAAGAAAGCATGTACTAACTCCCTCCAGAGAAATCAAAGCTATAATGTACAGCTTTTAAAGCGTTTCTCCCAACTACCCTTAGATCAAGTATGTTCACTGCAATGGCTCCAGAAGCAGCAGACTCTTTCCTTCCAAGTCCCGCCCATCACAGACTGCCTATTACTACCCAACAAGCCCAGAGATGTGGCATGGACGCCCCACACGAGGAGACTTCAAAGTGTTCAGACTTTCAAGTCTGACCTATGAAAGAAAAATCTTAATTTGGGGTGACAAAGTGAGTTCTTCACGAACATGTACTCCAAATCCACATCCTCTGACAGTCCAAGAAGGTGAAGCTATCTGCCTACCTGAAGGCTACGGGCCTCACAACACCCAGCCCAGATAACCTTGGTTTAACTGTTTTCCATGGTAAGCTTCTTCTCATGTTCTACTCTGATTTCAAAAACTATAAACACACTGAAATTAAAACAAGAATTATTAAAGATAAAAAATAACACAGGAGCCAAATACCATGGGATGAGGTAGTCAATAGCATGGCCTATATGCAAATCACCCTACCTAACCTTTCCTAGAGGCTGGAGATTTAGCAAGCTCAGGAAGCCACCGCAAGGCCCCTGAAGATGAAATGGTTACCGTGGTCTAACAGTCAAGTTTGAAATGGCAACCTAAACCAAAACTAAGCTGTTTTCTGAAGTAGTATTTCTGTGCAGGTCAGCCAAGGCCCTGCGAAGATGGTGCTGTACCAGGGGTATGGTCCCACCAGGATGTTTCAAGATTAATACTGAAAGCTGCGCTTTGTCTGGATATCATCAAGAATCTGCTGCAGCTCCTCATCTTCAAACCGCCCCTCCAGGCTACAAGAAAACCAAAAGAAATGGGTGATTTAGTGAATGACAAGTCTCCCACAGTCTTCACTGTATGCTCACCTGTGAGCACAATGTGCCCAACTTTCCATTTATGCCTAAACACTGACATCCTTACCATTCAACTACACTTCTCCTCTATCTGCTTCTTTTCCTTTTAAAAACAGTATGAAATAGCTCAAACATATAAAAGCAGAGAAAATAAGTTAAGCTCAACAATTAGCCCTATTTGAGCTTGATTTAAGAAAACCTGACAGAAACAATTGATGGTCCTGTGTACACGCTCCATCCTAAGACTTCTCCCTCCCTTTCCCAGAAGTAACCACTACTCTCAGTCTTATACATATTTTTATACCTAACTATACATATATGTATCCATAAGCAATATGTAGCATTGATTTTAAACTTTATAAATGGCATCATTCTGTATGTACTCACCTGCAATTTCTCTTAAAATTTTTTCAGCATTTGTTCATATTATTCCATGTTGCTCTAGTTCATTAATTTTTTCACTGCTATGTAATACACATTGTATCAATATACAATGACAAATTTATCTATTCTCTTGTTCACTGATAGACTGTTTTCAAATTTCTGCCATCACCAACAATGCTGCAATGAACACTGGAATATGTCTTCTCGTAAACCAGCGTGAGCTGCTTTAGGGCATGTACCCAGGAAAGGATTTTTGGGTCATGGGGTATGTTCATCTTTAACTTTACTAGATTTTGCCAAATTGCTCTCCAAAGTGACGGTACTAATTTACACTCTTACCATTCAGTCAGTGTACAAGAGCTCCAGCTGTTCTACCTTGTTGCTAATACTTGTGGTATAAAACCATCATTCTCATATAATCAAAGACATTCATATTCAATGTTGACGTTATCTAAATTTTAAATGCACACATCTTTTAGACAGAATAATTCTACCTGTATGAATCTATCCAATACACATAAAACCTATATCCACTACTAACCTTGGGATCAGAGCCTTGGACTCCTCAGCAGTCTCTGGGCAAAGATTGGCCAAACAGGCCAACTCGAACTTATGAAGCTTTTTCTGGAGCAACAAGCTGATCATAGGGAAGAAAATCAAAATGAAAAAATGATCAATAGAAAAAGGGGAAACAAATATACCTAGCAAAAAAAGAAGCAGAGTATCACAATCATTCCAATAAGGCTAGGTACGGCTGCAAAATTTTGCTTTCAAATCATTTCCTGTTTCTACTCCTGAAGAACAGGAAGTTCTGGAGAAGTCAGATAGAGACAATGAAAGTGAAGGGTGCTCCCCAGGGCAGACTAGGCCCTGGTACCACAACCTTTGAAAAACCACTATACACCTCAAGGACCATACAAAAATCTTTGGCCCAGGATTTGATTTTGTTGCTCCCTGCTCTTCCTTACCATGCTCCCTTCCTTCATTATTAATTTTGGGTTGGATAGAATTGTCTTTAAAATTTATCTAAGATTAAATAAATACAGGCATGCCCTACTTTGTGCAAATATATGTGTAAACAGCATCTTATTTTAAATGTACTAAAAATGTTCAAACTACATTAAAAAGAACAGTTAATACAACACGGATCTTGGATTGTCACGCATCTAGCTCGGCGGCAACAAACAAGATCCTAAAATAAAGCTCATCTATGATAAATTTGGGAAGCCCTGGTGGTGTAGTGATTAAGAGCTACAGCTGCTAATCAAAAGGTCATCAGTTCGAATCCACCAGGCACTCCCTGGAAACTCTATGGGGCAGTTCTACTCTGTCGTATAGGGTTGCTAGGAGTCAGAATCGACTCGAAGGCAACGGGTTCTAATAAGTTTAGTTGCAGAGAGGACCTTCAATAATCCTAATTAACCATTAAGAAATAAAATGTTTACTGTGCCTATCACTCTATTACAAGCACATCAGTCATTGTTCCAACTTTATAAAGACAGAAAAATTAAAGCTACCCATAACATTACCAAGACATAAACAATGTTATCATTTTAGTACATCATTCCAAACACTTTTGTTTCTGAATATACACATTGGTTTTGTAGCTTTTTATCATTTAATAAAGGGATTTTCATTTCATAAAGAAAATACTGCACACTTAGTGACATGGGAAGAGGTTCATAATGTACTGGGTGGATGTGTATGGTGGGATTCACAGTAAAATGAATATATGGTTGTTTACAAACACAAATACCAAAAAAATTGCCACAAAGGTGAAAAATGCTACTATCTAGAAATAATCAATGTTAAAAAGTTTATGAAGATTTCCCCTCCCTTTTTACTTATTTACACATACATACATACGTACATATATATAGAGAGAGACAGAGAGAGACAGAGAGAGAGACAGAGAGAGAGAGACAGAGAGAGAGAGACAGAGACAGAGAGAGAGACAGAGACAGAGAGAGACAGAGACAGAGAGAGAGAGAGACAAAGAGCCAGTCCCTGCTTGGCACAAACAGTTAAGCTCTTGACTACTACCAGAAAGGCTGGTGGTTCAAACCCACCCAGAGGCATCTTGGAAGATAGGCTTAGTGTTCTGCTGCTGAAAGATCTGCCTTAGAAACCTGGGGCAGTTCTACTCTGCACACGAGATCGCCATAAGTTGGAATCGACTTGATGGCAACCAACATTAACAACAAATACACATATACGTATACATGTGTGCGCATGTATATACACAGGTAGTCCCCAACTTATGACATATTCAAGTTACAACAAACCACATTTAAAACTGTCCTATTTTTTCTGGGGTACATCTTATCATTAGTAATATGTACTACATAAAATGTTGAAGCATGTAATTTGCTGATGTTATTCTCAGATGTTCACTCACAGGTGCTCAATTTTATGATTTTCTGTGCAAATCACTGCCATATGGATTTAGTTTTCTAAACTAAATAAGGGAAATCAGGTGCTTGAAAACACGGACCAAAAGCTGATTGCTTTGCCAAAGTCGACAGGCAGATTCAGGAAGCAGTGAGATGTTACCAGGAAACATATGAAGAAAAAAAGACGACCATAGGGACAACTCTTGTTAATTTTCTGACTAGAAACGCCATCCCCATTCCCAGGGATAATCCAGATGATCCAGACCCTTCCACAAGTGGAGTTATTACCACCAAATGTCGTCTAACTCTTTTTCATGGCTAGGGTAAATTTTTGTGATTTGGGTATTTTTTATGTATATATGAAAATACACCTGTAAGTTTGTTTATATGTAATGTTTCCAACCCCAAAGACAAACAATGATTGGATTTATAAGACATTGATAATAAATGGCAATAATAAAAAAAAGAAAAAGAGGTATTCTACATACATCAGAACCGACTCACAACAGAGTCATTCTAAATCGGGGGCTACCTGCATATAAATACACACACACACAAATGTTGTTGTTGTTGTTAGGTGCCATTGAGTCGGTTCTGATTCATAGCGACCCTATGTACAACAGAATGAAACTCTGCCTGCGCTACCCTCACAACTGTTGTTATGCTTGGGCCCAATGTTACAGTCACTGTGTCAATCCACCTCATTGAGGGTCTTCCTCTTTTTCACTGACCCTCTATTTTACCAAGCATAATGTCCTTCACCAGGGATTGGTCCTGCCTGAAAACATGTCCAAAGTACATGAGATGAAGTCTTGCCATACTTGCTTCTAAGGAGCATGCGTATTTTTTGTGTATTTTAATTGGAACACTTTTAATAATACTTTTTGAATATCATTGTAAATGCATACGAATACTTCTATGTACACTTGGTTGGTTACTGTATTTTCTAAAGACAAATTCCTGCAAGGAGAATTATTCAAAGGATATGCCTCTTTTGAAGGCTTCTGAGACATAGTGGCAGAGTGTGTCCTAAAAGGGCTTTACCAATGTACACTCCAAGCAGCGATGAGTGCAAGTAGCTGTTTACAGCAACTTCCATATTTACAATTCAGTGACATTGGATACACTTTTTATGTTGTGCATTATAGCTATCCTTCTCCAAAATATTTCACCATCATTATTTTTCAACAATATTTTATTATTTTCATTAAAAGTTTACATAGTAAGTTAAATTCCCATTAAATAATTTCTGTACACACTGTTTAGAGACATTGGTTACATTTTTCACAATGTTTTAATATTCTCATTAATTCCCTTCTGAATGTTTTGCTTCCAGTAATCTGGTTTCCCTGTCCCCTTACCATTCCATCTTGCTTTAGACTAACTGTTGACTATTTGGTCTCTTATGATTTTTTGAAAGTGCATAGTACTCATTGGTAATACTCTTTATGAGCCAATCTGTTATTTAGCTAAAAGGTGCCCTCAGGGGTTAGTTTTGGGTCAAGGTTTATGGAGTATCTCAAGGCCACCACTACTACTTTTTAATCCTTTAAATCTACTTAGGCATATTACCATTTTTAAAAATTTTCTTGAGAATGAACATTATCTCATAAAAGTTAGCCATTTGAAGTTCTTAAGTAAATTGAGCATTTATAGAATTTAAGCCCATTTTTCAAAATTGAGTGTCACCTTTCTTAATTATTTGTAAGAACTTTTAAGAATAAAGACATCAACGCTTTTCAAGTTTACTCATACTTAAGTTTTACATATAGTATTTTATTTGATATAGGGAAGATGTGTATGCAAATTCATTTATTCAACAGATATTTATTTAGTGCCTACAATGAGATCCAGACAGTGGTGGATATGATGTTCCTGCCATCACGAAGCTTACATTCAACTATAATCTATCAATTTTCCCCCACTTAGAAATTTGCTGACCATACCACAACCAAGATAATATATACATTCACTCTCGTTATCCTCTAGCTATTTTATGAATCATAGTCTACATTTAAATATTTAAGCCTCTGGGAATTTATTTTGTTGTAAGGTATAAGAAACTTTGCTTCAAAATATTTCCTCATTAATTTACTGGACTGATATGACAGTAGATTCATATTTGAGTCTGTTCCTGAACTTTCTATTCTGTTCCAATGATCTGTCTATTCTGATGCCAAAGTGACACTATTTTAAGTATTGCCATTCTGTTTTGAAAATGTACTGGTAATTCATATAAGCTTAAGATCATTTTACTAAACTTCCTCTCACCCTAAAAAATCCCTTAGAGGCTTAGAATGGCATTAAATGTATACATAATTTGGAGAGAAGCAACATTTTTATAATATTAAGACTTCTTACTCATGAATACGTACATCTACCTTCATTTATGCAAGTCATTGTTTAGGTCCAATAGTCTGTAATTTTGTATGAAGCTCTACGTACTTCCTTCCAATCTTTTCCTCATGTATATATACACACACAATTTTAAAAACAGAGTATAATTCCTACATAGTTTTATTACCTTCATTTTCCCCACACTTAACAGATGTGAACATCTTTCAATTTCATTTTCTACCACAATTTTTAAAGGTGATAAAGTACTCCATATCAAATGGATCTACCACAATTTATTTAATCAATGCTTAATGTTTAGCTTTTTTTATCTTTAGTTAGTATAAATAGCTCTCTAAAAATATCTGTGTATTATTGCCTTTTGTCCATCTGCCTTTTCCTTAGGACACTACTGCTCAAACATTTTCACCGAAGTAGAACAAACAAATGTTTGTCCCACCCAGGGAACCTAAAAGCACAGGCTTAAATGGCTTTCTAAAACTTCAAGTTTTTAAGTCTCATGATTTAATTTAAAAATTCATGTACATTTTTTTGTCTTACTCCATAATATGCCGGTATGCTTGCTTTAATGTTAAAATGTTTTAAATTACCTACCATCGAGTGAAACTGATACTTTAGGAAGATGAGCTGTTTCCCTGTGGCCTCCTACATGCCACAACACATCGCTGTGTTTCCCAAGGTACATCCAACCCAACTGAAAGAAGTCCTAAAAGTCAGTCACTGTGTGAAAGGCAAAACAAAATGCAGAAAGAATGGTCCTCACAAGTCAGACCTATATGCATTATACAAAGATCTCTAAGACACTTTAGATGAATAACAAATTAAATAAGCCTATTTAAAAACAAAAAAACCTCCACAAAACAATGCTATGCATATATGTGTATATATATATCCACATACATATGTATATGGATATATATATACACACGTACACATACGGATATTTATATATATACGTGTGTGTGTATATATGTATCTTTAGCTGTATGTATATGTATGTGAATGCATGGAAAAAGATTTGGAGAGCTACACTCATCAAAATGCTAACAGAAAGTTCCTTATAAGGAATTAAAAAATTTCTGACAAAAACACTGCTTTAGTTACATTAAACTCATAGATGATTGCGGGGGAGGGGGAGGATGAGGATAGCATTCTACATGCAGATGCTCAATGAAAAAAAACAAACCAAATCTGTTGCCACTGAGTCAATTCTGACTCATAAGGACCCTACAGGACAGAGTAGAACTGCCCCATAGGGTTTCTGAGGCCATAATCTTTACAGAAACAGACTGCCACATCTTTCTCCTGTGGAGTGGCTGCTGGGTTCGAAAAGCTGACCTTTCGGTTAGCAGCTGAGTGCTTAACCACTGCATCCTCAGGGCTCCTTCAGATGCCCAATACTTTGGATTAATACATTTCTTTTAGCACTTACCTGCGGACACTGGCGATGGTCTCTCTGTTTTTGAAACGACTGAAACGGGCTGTGTAGTTTAAAGTTTTCATGAAGACTTCTGAGAGTTCCTGTTCATCCTCTGCACTCTCATTCTGTTGCTTTCGATGCTCTAGAAGCATATGAACTTCTGAATTTAGAAGTGTCTCAGCTGTTTCAAACTCTGTGAGAAGCACATCAGATAAATATTCATTCAAAAGACTATTTCTAAATTTCTTTTTATATCTGTCTTCACAATACCGGACAAATTCAGAGGCTTTATACTCCACATTGCTACCTCCATCCACACTAGAACATCACAAGGTACACTGGAGTCTACTGGATTCTACAATTTAGATAATTTGGCCTGATAGTTCTGACATCAAGGAACCTGACCTAGACATGCTATTAAATGATACATCATTGTCTTAAGTCTAGTCTAGTTACTGAATTCAAAATGGAGTATAACCAGAAATTATTTACTTCTAGCTTACATGAATCTTTATATTTCCATAATGCTAATATTATACTCTCGATTTTAAGAGTTACCACATACTAGGCAGGGCCAACTGTCTGTAAATACAAATGAATAATGCACCCCCAATTCTATTTTTGTACCTTCACGAATCTATTACGTACTATTAAACCAGGTCACCATGTATTACGTACTACTAGGCACTGAACAAAGGGCTGGAAGCTCCTACCCTCTGGATTTCACAGTCTAAGGCAACCCATCAACTAAACTCAATTCAAATATTCACCATTTTATACAAATCTCTTGCCCTTGATATTCATTTAAAAGAATTCTCTTGACCAATAGGAATACCTAGAAGTAATCTTTAAAAATTAGGTTTGAAAGAAAGCCAGCCCAGGTCTCCTTTCCATATGTTAACCTTTTCCTGTATTTTCAGGAAAGCACTGTTAAACATGCTATTATCCCTTTGGGAAAATCATTCTCTCCCTACATTCCCATAGGAACATATATTCCTAGTATTCATCACAAAGTGTTAGAGCGGGTTTGTATCTACCATTCCCATTTATCAGTGAGTTTCCCCAGAATAGGGACCATGTCTTATTCGTGTTTATAACCCCACAATAATCAAGAGGAAGCAACAGTGAAGAAAATCCCATATTACTTGTGTTTTGCATTTACATGCGATAAAGTTGTGCTTACTATTAGGACAATCACTGACACCACCATCAGAGTATGTCATGGTCCAGGGAACAGCCTCGCTTTGCTGACAAGATTTCATTCTTTTACAACATGAACGGTCAAATAAAAAACTATTTTTATTTGAAAAACACTTATTGCTACTGAATATAATAGGCACTCAAAAACTATTTTTTATTGTGGTGAAAATATAAAAAACAAAACCTTCACCAATTCAACAATTTCCACATCAGAGATACTGATTATATTTTTCATGTTGCACAACCTTTATTGCTAACCTTTATTGTCTGTTTGCTGTTAAGTCGTAAAAAGTTTTTTTAATATATATTGGATTTTACACCTTTATCATATATATAAGGAGCCCTCGTCGTGCAGTGGTTGGCGGTTCAAACCTACCCAGCAGCTCCACGGAGAAATACCTGGTAATCTGCTCCTGTAGATTACAGCCTAGAAAACCCTATGGGGAAGCTCGCTATGTGTTGAAACTGACTTGACGGCATCTAACATCAGATACGTGACTCCCGAAAATTTTCTCCCAGATCTGTAGGTTATATCTTCACTTTGTTGATATAGTCCTTTGATTAACAAAAGTATTTAATTTTTATGAGGTCCCATTTATCTATTTTGTCTTTTACTGCTTGTGCTGTCATACTTAATCTATTGTTAAAAACTAGGTCTCACAATCTCGCTTCATTTTCTTCTAAGAATTCTACGGTTTTAGTTTTCATATTTAGGTGCTTGATCCATTTTGAATTGGCTTTTGTATATGGTGTGATGCATGGGACCTGATTCATCCTTCCGTATGTGAAAATCCAATTTTCCTAGCACCATTTGTTGAAGAGACTCCTCCTTCTCCATTGAATGGACTTAGCACCCGTGTCGAAAATCAGTTGACCGGAGATGTACGAATTTATTTCCGGACTCTATTTTATTCCATTGGTCTATACGTCTATTAACATACCAGTACCGGGTTGTTTTAATTACCGCCCCATGGCGCAGTGGTTAAGCATTTGGCTGTTAACCAAAAGGTTGGCAGCTCGAATCCACCAGCTGCTCTTTGGAAACCCTACGGGGCAGTTCTACTTTGTCTCATAGGGTATGAAAGGACTCGATGGCAACAGGTTTGTTTGTTTTTTTCGTTATAGCATTTTTTTTTTCATCACATATACTCTTCATTGAACATCAGTTAGTTCATGATATTCTGGTTCTTATTTTTATTTTTTTAATATACATTTTTTTTATTGTACTTTCAGATGAAGGTTTACAGAACAAATAGTTTCTCATTAAACAGTCAGCACACATACTGTTTTATGACATTGGTTAACAACCCCACGACATGTCAACACTCTCCCTTCTCGACCTTGGAGGACTCTTTTATTTGGTTAAAATATACATACACAAAATCACACCATTTCAAAAGTTTCTACATGTACAATTCAGTGACATCAATTATTTTCTTCCAGTTGTGCTGCTATTCTCACTATCGTTTTCCAAATTATTCCATCACCATTATCTTCAACTCACTGCCTCTTACGCTTCCCATCAAATCTTTTGAGTTGCTGTTGTCAATTTGATCTTACATAGAAAAAAATTTTTTTTTTTTGGGCCTTAAATGAAGGTTTGCAGAACAAATAGTTTCTCATTAAAGAGTTAGTATACATATTGCCCTATGACAATGATTAACAACCCCACGACATGTCGACACTGCCCCTTCTCAACCTTGGGTTACCTATCACCAGCTTTCTTGTCCCCTCCTGCCTACTAGTACTTGTCCCTGGACTGCTGTGCCTCATTAGTCCCATTTTGTTTTATGAGGCTGTCCAACCCCTGGCTGAACGGTGAACTTTGGGAGTGAATTCACCACTATGCTAAAAGGGTGTCTGGGGGCCATACTCTCGTGGTTTCTCCAGTCTCCTTTAGGCCAATAAATCTGGTCTTTTTTTTGTGAGTTAGAATTTTGTTCTACATCCTTTTCCAGCTCTGTCCAGGACCCTCTATTGTGATCCCAGTCAGAGCAGTCTGTGGTGGCAGCCGGGCACCATCTAGCTGTACTGGACTCAGTCTGGTGGAGGCCGTGCTAGCTGTGGTCCATTAGTCCTTTGGACTAATCTTTTCCTTGTATCA